GACGGTTGTGTTTCTGTTCACCACTGATATGAGACCAGTTGTGCGGTTTTGCTGACAGTGCATCTGGTTTGCATTTCGCTCGGGTTTGCTGGCCGCCGATCAGTGCCGTGTGATCCTCCGAGAGCGGAAGTCTGCCGTTGTAGTTTTTTCTGGAGGTCTTGAACAACACATGTACCAATGTAGTTTTTGCGCTTGTGGTATCAGGTTCGCTGCTTCTCAAAGACTTCATCTTGGTGGTTTGTAACCACTACTATTTTGCTGTCAAATCTTGATGCGTATGTTGTGTGTGTGTGTGTGTGTGTGTGTGTGGATATGAGACCAGTTGTGCGGTTTTGCTGACACTGCATCTGGTTTGCATTTCGCTCGGGGTTGCTGGCCCCCGATCAGTGCTGTGTGATCCTCCGAGAGTTTTTTCTGGAGGTCTTGAACCACATGTGTGCCAGTGTAGTTTTCGGGCTTGTGGTATTGGGTCATCTCGGTGGTTTTTAACCACTGCTATTTTGCTGTCAAATCTTGATGCGTATGTTTTGTGTGTGTGTGTGCGCGCTTTTATGTCCAGTTCTGGGAATGCTGAAGTCCCTGCACCAGCTGCAGGTGGAAAACCGGCGTCTGGAGGAACAAATCCGAACTCTCACCATGAAAAAGGAACGACTGCAGCTCTTGAGCGCTCAGCTCTCTGTGCCTTTCACCCCCGCGAGCGCCACGGCCACCGCTGCCTCTTCTCCTCTGTACCCCAGCAACACTCATGCAGGTTAGACACACGCTATCTTATGCCTCTTGTCTACCCTTAGAGTTTTCACACACTCCATTTGGAACGTTACAGTCTAATCCCACCCCAAACACCCCCCCACATCCCCCACCCCGATCCACATATACACACATACATGCACACGAGCCCACCTTTCACCCCCGTACGACCCCGTACGACCCCTCTGTTCTGCTCATGGAGGCTCCTCTCCCAGCTCAACTCTAGCTAATCTGGTCTCCACATTCATGTCAAGTTGCAAAATCTCTCTCTCCTCCAGACATGCTGCACAGCAAGAGCATTCAGCTAGGCAGCAGTGTTTTAACAGAGTCCTCTCAACCCTTGCCCACTCAGGTAACTTCCTCTACCCCTGCTCTGCAGATGCCATCTGCTGGGACTGATCACCTCTTTAGTTGAGTCAAGTGTTATATTATGTGTATCTGTACATAGTCGAGTGTGTTGCACTGATGTGATGGTGTAGTACGTAATTGCATCGTAATGACAGATTCATGGGATAATTGGTGGCTGTGTGATGTTTAAATGATTTGCAGCATAAGTCTGATTGAAATTATGCTATATCTATTTGGTTGGACAGGTTCAGGAGGCGCGCCTCTCTCACGTTGACCTCTCTTTTCTCTCTCTCTCTCACACTCTTGTGCTTTCTCTATTCTTTCTCTTTCTTTCAGGATCCCCTGTCTGGTGGCCATAGTAGCGGAAGTAGCACGTCCTCTCTCTCCACCCCTTCGTCTGCGGCCCACAGTCCCCCCCAGCAGCAGATGAACGGAGTCGGCATGGCCGGGGTGGCCATCCAGCCTGGCAATGCCAACTCGTCCCTGCCTGCCATAGCCGGGGTGACGGGTCTGATGGGCGCTCTGCAGGGGAACCACCTGGCCATGAGTGGCATCGTGGGTGCCCTAAACGGAGTCATCCAAACCTCCCCCAGCCTGGCCCAGAATAACAGCCCCCTGCCCCATCCCTCAGCAGCTACCAGCGCATCCCTGCCCATGTCCAACAGTCTCAGTAACAGGTACAAACTGGCACTTGCCGCCTTAGACTTTGCACTAAGAGTCCTTTTTGTTAAAGAGTAAATTTGATTACTTTGGGAGGGAGTGGGAGGCACTGGTTGAGGATCCATAATTAATGGTTTAGATGCCACAGTCTGGATTAGTAATAAACTGGCAGGTGATGCTGATGGAGATGTGGATTTCTCACAAAAACTGTCAAGAAATTGGCCAGTTCATATTTTACCCCCCGAGCAAAAGAGAAATGAAATGTATGTTATGTTTTTTATACGTTATAACATATTTATTTAATCAGTGAAAACAGTAATATCTCATTTTAAGAAATATATATTATAGTCTATTTATATATTGCATTTTTGAATGTAATTCAACATTTTTTTTCATTTATTCTTTTATTTTTATTTTGGGGTGAATTGTGACTTGGACATGTTTGTGAGATTCATTCATACTGCTTGGCATTGTGTAATGCATTCATATTTTCTTCAACTCTTCTGCTTCCCGATCTCTCTTGCTTTCGCTTCGGAATGCAGCAGCATGACCACTGCGAAAACCAGGTGAGGATTGGCTTGCTTTGGCTTTTTCTTTCTCACTTGCTCATTTTGTTCCTATGCCTGTACATCTGCCTCTGAAACAAAAATGTGTACTCAAGATTGAACCACTGGTGTTTTCAAAGCAAGTTCCAGCTTAAACAGCCCTCCCTTAGGCAAGAACAGGACCATTAGTTATGATTACAGTCTCTTTACTTCAGCATACAGAGGGGTTTTATTTTATATGTAATAGTTTTTTGTGGCCATTGCCAAAAAGTTTCTGAATTGCGGACAATTTAGTTTGCTTATGAGGGCTTATGTATATGTGTTTGCAGTGGAGCAAGGCTTTTCAGCGATCAGCACAGGCAGATCCTCCTCCATCAGCACCAACTGCAGCAGCTTTTCAACTCTCAGCAGGCCATACCGGTAAGAGGAGCACTAGCACACACACTCCTTTACACAGCCTTGGAGTCTAGAGTCTCTTTGTTCATGTGACTTATAACAAAGTCCACACAGCAGCTTATTTTGGCCATGATCCTTGTTATTAGTCAAGATGATGCTGTCTGAATGATATATAATGTAACATTTAGGGGCGAATAAATCTGAAATAGATTTAAATACATGATTCCAAGACCACAAAATATATGCATGTTTACTTATAAGAATCATACAAACACCTTATCTATTGAGGATTCAATGCCACAAAACTCTCATACGTCACAATGGCTTCTTCCTCAGAAGTGTTTATTTTAGCATCCTGGCAGCTTGGAATTGCAATTTTGAGGAAACTCTTGCCACTATTCTGTGCAATATGCATCATACGGTCTGTGGGCAGGCTGTGGGTGTGCCATCTTTGTCTAGACATCTCATCATACTCTGTTTGTCTGTCTGTTTAGGAACAGCAGCAGGCTCTGCTCTCTCAGTTAATGCAACAACAACAGCAGCAGCAGCAGAATGACATTCAGCTACAGCAGCTGCCAATCAACAGCCTCCTGCCTGCCATGCAGCCAGCCATCACCACAAACCCCTTCCTCGCCATGCACAATGACAACAACACTCCTAAAACTGGAGTTGGTACTGCAACTATCAAACAGACAAAAGTATTAACTTATAATATAATTATAATATGGATTCATTAAATATTTTATGTGTGTGTGTGTGTGTGTGTGTGTGTGTGTGTATATATATATATATATAATGTATGTATCTGTATGTAATATATTAATTAATTAATTAATATGAATATATAATTGTGGTAATATATATTATTTTATATAATTTTCAATAATTTTTGTAAATGTATTAAATTAATAAAATGCTATAATACATTTATATTAATGTATAAATGCTAACAAATGTATTGTTTTATTAATGTAATACATTTACAATAATAATGATCAGAAAATAAAAATTATATTAAATCTATTCATAATTGTATATATTAATATAGTCATATAAATATATTAAAATAAATATATAATTTTTAACATATTTTCTTAATATTAATATTTTAATATAATAATATTATAATGTACATTGTAATTACATTATTATAATTATATATACATATATCATTATTATAGTATTTACAATAATTATAATTTTATATTAATATTATTGTATTATATTTATTGTATATTTTTTATTTATACATCAGATTTACACCTGAAAGCTGAATAAATAAGCTTTCCATTGATGTATGGTTTATGATAGGACAATATTACATAGGAGATACAAAGTCCAGGGTCACATATATTTATATAAAAATATATTTATTATAAAAGTTATTTTATTTACATATTTTATTTTACAAATTTTGAGAATCACTTATTGAAATTGTGCTTGTGTTTTATTCAGAGACTGGGAGAGAAGGCAGTGTCTGTGACCGGACAGGAGAAGACCTGATGTAGAAAACAACATTTTGGAGGAGTTCTGTCTTATGGATCCTTCTCATCTGCCCACCCCAAGAGCCTTGCAATCTGAGCAGTAAGACCAGAACATTCACCCACAGCACGAAACCCTCACCAGCACCAGCCTTCATATATACACACACTTGCCAATTTGATGCCCATCTGGCAAACAACATGCTGCACTGAGTTTGAGTAAATCACTTGCTGTAAACTTACTGGATCCCATGGGGGCCAAAAGACAGGCTTACACAAATATGTGCACGCACACACACACACACACACACACGGTCTCTCTCACCCTGCCAGTGTGCTGAAAATGACACACTGGTGCAAGTCGCTCTGGGCGGAAAGTGTAGATCGAGGTCTCGGATGGGGATTGTAAGATGGAGATGCTTCTGGAACAGTATCTGCTCACCGCTGTTACCTCTCTGTACCCCTTTAACAAGAAACATGTAACGATAATCTCAATAAAAACTATATATTTGTCCGTCTGTGTATCTAAAAAGCGATGAAGCGATCAGACATTTGTGCACCATGAAGGCCTTCTCTGCATCCTGATCTTGAGCTTCCCCTGTGAGGAGGCATCCCAAAGGTCCACAAACTGTCTCACTGACCCTGCTGCACTCTTTGAAGAGCAACTACCTCTCAAGCCAGGACACACAGACTAGGCCCTGAGCCCAAGTGCCTGGCCCACGATCTCCAACTTCTCAGCGAGGGGCCGCGCGCTGGAGACGCTGCCAGTCTGTTTCTCTCTCTCCTTCCCTTTTTATTTTTTCCTCCAGTCGATCCATTTTTTCTGAAAAGATTTAATACCAATCGGCGTCGCTCAGGCAATACCAGTTCACAGAGTCCCAGAGATCTCTGCCTGTACAGTGACTACACTGAAAAAAAACAAACTGATTTCGAATGTTTGTGCTGCATTAATCATTTTTGAAGCCTACTTTCTATTATTCCTTTCTTATTTATTTGCATTCGTTGCATGTTGGGCGCAAGGTGATATATTCGAATGCTCAACTGGCAAAATGTTTTTATACTACTGTACAAAGTTCTCACCTCTTTTGAGTCTTGTAAACATTTTGATGAACATGTCTTGTGTTTGAAATTATAAAAAAAGAAAAAAGCCTACTTGATAATTTTGTGGTCTTGTACATACACCTGATTTTCCCTTTTTCCTTTTGTTGCTATGTAAATCTACAGATGCATATTGGATTAAGAATAAACTGTCAGAATAAATAAGATTGAGTTTAGCACACTTTTACCTCTTTTCTGTTGTAAATACATATTTGTGATTCACTTAGTGGTGTGAAGGACTGTTTCAAAGCACTGTCAGTGTGTTCAGATCTTTTCCAATAGGCTTTCCACAAGACTGGTGACTGGATAAAGTGTATTAATTTATTTTTGTATGTGCAGGGACGTTTTTTTTTTTTTTTTGCACCATTTTATTGATGTGGTTTTATATGTTATAGATGTGTTATGTCCACGTTCTCATGTATCTGTACAGAAATTATGCAAAATCTAAAGTTTGTATTTAAAAAATCAAAAGTGAAACCACATGAGTCCTGATTCATATTAAGAAATTCTGAACACTGAGATTGTAGTGTTGTGCTTTTTTTTCAGTGATAAATTAAAATGTTTATTACAATTCTTGCATCTTGCAGTGCCTTTTTTAGCATTTTTAGTCTGTTTAGCATAGCAAAACATAATTTTTTTTTCATGCTTTTAAATCCTTGCAGAATGCTAACAAATTACACTAGAATGGACTTGCAAACCTCTTTTCATTAAAAGAATGACTCATTCGTAATTCAGACTCATGACAAGTATTCAAATTACAGATCTTTCCTGTTAAAATGCGAAGGCATTACATTCAGTGCCAATGAAGTGCTTCTAGATTATAATTAAAATAAATATCTTTACATAATTTAAAGTGATAGTTCACCCAAAAATGTAAATTCTGTTTTTATTTACTCATCTTCATACCATTCCAAACCTGTGTGCATTTCTTTATGTTGTTGAACACAAAAAGACGATATTTTGAAGTGACCAACCATTTTTGCCAGTGTCAATGGGAACCGACACAGATTAGTTACCAACAGTGTTCAAAATATCTTCCTTTGTGCTCAACAGAACGACATACAGGTTTGAAACAACTTGAGTAAAGTTGAGTAAATTACAGAATTTTTGTTTTTTTTTGGGTGAAGTATCCCTTTTAACACTTGGCCCTTAACTACAATGGGCCCTTTTCACATTTCCAGGGTTTCTCTAAAGCAGAAGTTGCCATAGTTGGGTCAGCTTGTATAGTGGTGAACAGAAACTACAACAAATATATTTTTGGCATTCGCATTTGCCCCAAAAGAAAAGAATCCACAATAGAATTTCAACTATTTTCAAAAAGATGAAAAATGCAGAGATTGATATTGATACATTGGTAAGAAGAGAGAAAGATTTCAACTCACACAGCAGTGTTAACTAACATTCTGAAATATACATTAAAAAAAAAATGCCATCAGTCCATAGTATGAATATCACAGCCCTGATAAAGATGCCAAAACTAAATCCATATGAAAGTTGCATTGAGATTGAATGAAATATGCCATTCATATCCATTTATCTTGGTGAAATTAAGAACTCTTTACCTTTATTACAATTATACTACTTGTGCTGGACATATAAAGGTCAATGGATCAGCCACATGCATATTTCTTCAATTATGAGCAAGGAAACACACTAAACTCCGTCATCCCTCCCCACCATTTGTACACTCAAGAACCCCCATATTTCTGCAGTCTGTCCTTGTGTTTTCTATTTGGTGAGTGGAACCCATTTCTCAGCATGGCCCCCAGGGACCTGCCCACTGTCCCTGCCCAGCTCTGAGCGCTCCTGCTGTGGGAACAGCAGGCCCCTCTCTCCCCTCAGCTTCATCAAGCTGTCCAAACTACTGACCACCCTCTAACCCCTGACCCCTAAAAGCGGCACGCACACAATGGGGCCAGTGACAGCATTCACACATCTGAAAAATCTTCGCTTAATTTTAATCAGAAGAAAGCATTCTTGGAAATTTGTAAAACGTCACATTTTGTGGGGTGCCGTCACACTTTTCCCATGAAATAAGGAACTCTTTTATGACCTAAACGTGAGTTCTTAAGTAAGCCTCTAATAATATTTTTATTCCATTCGCACGACAGTGATAAATTAAATATTTAGTTATTTAGTCCTTTCCCACCCAGTTAGTGATGGCTTTGTGTTAATGCCCGCTCAGAGAGCAGATGGGGTAATAGGAGGCCGAGGGCAGAGAGCTGCTAAAGCCAGTGTGTCGCTCACTCTCTCTCTACCAAGTGCACTGGAGGGGGTGATCCAAAAAAAAAAAAAACCCACTGAAGATCCTTAGGGACGATTCATTTTCGCCCCGCTGCCTGTAAGGAATGGATTCAGCTTACAGGTATAGGTAACAAAAGCTGCTAACTGACAGAGCTGCTGGAAAGGGAGGTGACTGATTTATGGTCCTTTTCTTTCTCATTCTCGCCAGTACTGTAACCCTGAATGACCATGTCAAAATGAAATGTAGGAATATTATTCGACCACAATGAAAATGTGTGTTTTGAGCTCCAGCCTGCTAATTAATTCTGCCATTAAAGACGCCCTGTCTTTAAAAATGTGGGGGAGGCAGAGACAGGTTTTATTATGTTCACGTTTAATTTACTAATAATTGCTCAGAGGATGAGACGAATATTTGAGGTGAATTACTGGAGCAGACTTTTGTAAACAGAAATCTTACCCTGCTTTGCTTCAGTTCACTGCTGTTCCTATTCTTTCTGTTCCTGTACTCATCTGTACCTAAATGTTAATGTTATTATATATGTTGTTGTAACTAATTTAATTATATAATGTATGATGTGTGTGTGTGTGTGTGTGTGTGTGTGTGTGTGTGTTTGTGTAAATGACAACTATGTGATACATACTGTGGAACATAAAGTTTAGTGTTTAAAAAAAATAAAAAATAAATTTTTGGGCTTGCTGATTTATTTGCATGTTTTTTGTATGTTTCTATGTTTCTAATGTTTTTTTTTTTTTTGCATGATTTTCTAGCTTGTAGTTTATTTGATTTGCAGGGTAGATCTCAAACAACAAATGGAAAAAAAGGACTCATTAGGAAAAGATTAGGAAAAGAATGAAAACAGAAAAATATGACAGGGAAAAAAACAAACAAACCGTAAAAGCATAAATAAAAAGTGTAGGCAAAAATACAGTTGCATACAATTGTAAATACAATTGCAGTTTATAAAAATGATAATAGCAATAATGACAATTTCTTTGTCACATTCTTCTTTTTGGTTCTTCATCAAAATCCAGTTGTCATTTAATCCATTTTTATGCTGACAAGCTGAATAGGATTAAAAGCCCAATCAAACATCCTTCCAGATGATTCTGAATCACCGAAGCCACATGATTGTTTTATTACTACTATTAAATCAACCCCAAATATCCTGCTCACTGCTTTTACAGTCTACATCTAATGCATCCCACTGTCCATTTCTTTTTCTTTCTTTCTTTCTTTCTTTCTTTCCCTCTTCTCCCCACCCACCTTTATTTCTCCTCCCTGTTTGGTTCATGCTGATGATTTCCAGCTGCTCAGGCACCATTCTGTTACATCTGCTTCTGCTTTAGTAATTAATAGCTCACTTTCCTCTCCCAGTCAGATTGGGAGACTGATCCCCCCTCCACCCTCTCACACACACTCTTCTCTCTCCTGCCTTATCAGACCTGTCAATCACATCCAGGCTGTTTAAACATGCTGCCAAACCGTCCCCCCCCCACTCTCTCTCTCTTTTTTTTCTCTGTCTTTCTCTCTTGCTTGTTATATGCTCTATCTTTCTCCACTTCTTAGCTGCACCCCCTCCTCCTCTGGGTTTATTCATTCACATCTTGGGAGTTTGGACACACCCCCCCTTCAGTCCCATCCCCCTTGTTTCCAGCTGAACTCCTGTCCAACATCAACGGTTTCAATCAGTCTGCCAGAGGCCTAGCTCTGGCTCTGGCTCTCCTGGGTAGCCAATAAAGAGCCATTTCTGTCTATTTGGGTGCCTAAACAAAAATATTTGTTTGTTTGTTTGTTTGTTTATATTGAAATAATTGTTTATCATCTTAAAATATTTTATGTTTAAATAAATAGGCTAAATATTGTGTGCTGTGTGTTCAGTGTTTAAAATAAAACATCCATTAATAATTTGGTGGGA